AGAAGATGCTCACCACCAACAATCATCAGAACGTCAATAGAAACTACAATGAGATACCGTCTCATATCCATCAGGATGCCGCATGTGAGAAAACAGGGAATAAGTGCTGGTGGGGATGTGGAGAAATTAGAGCCCTGCACATCACTGGAAGAACTACGAAATGGTTCAAGTGTTACAGAAAATGGAATGGAAATTCCTCAAAAAATTAAAAACAGAATTCCCATAGGACTCTGCAATTCCATGTCTGGGTATGCATTGAAAGCGGGGTCTTGGAAGATATATTTGCACATCCATGTTCCTTGCAGTACTATTCACAAGAGCGAAAAGATGGAAGCAAGCCAGTGTCCGCCAACAGAGGAACGGAAGGACACATTGTGGTATATCCATACGATGGAATACTATGCAGCCTTTAAAAAGGAAAGAAATTCTGGCACCCGCTAAAATATGGATGTACCTCAAGGACATTAGGTGAATTGAAATAAGCCAGGCACAATATTATATCATTCCACTTCCATGAAATATCTAAAGTTCACAGGGACAGAAAGAAGAATGATGGTTGCCAGGGGCTGGAGAGGGGGAAATGGAGAGTTGTTTCGTGGGTACAGAGTTTCAGATTTGCAAAATGAGAAAGTTTTCTTTCTTTCAAATGGGTTCTATTTGACAGCAACATGAATATACTCGATGCTACTCAACTGTATACTTAAGAGTGGGTACACTGGTAACTTTAAGGTTGTGGGTTTTTCCCACAATAAAAATAAAACAAAATAAAATAAAGAAAAAAGAAACGGGAAAAGGTAGCCAGTGGGGAAAACACACACACACACAGCATAGCTAACAGTTCCTGTCCCTGCCCAGGTGTGCTGTAGGGTCACATCCTCCCCTGATCCTGCCAGGTGCCCTCCCCTAAGTGCCATTACTATAACACTGCACCTCTCTGACCTAGAGCTGGGGACAGGAAGGGGAGGACTAGCTCTGGTCTCTATCCCAGGGCTTAGCCCAGCACCTGGTACCAGCAGATGTTAGGTAAATATTTGCTGAACAAGTTGCATGAAAACCACGTGGTGAGGTTAGGCTGGTACCATTATCCCCATTTTACAGACAGCCTAATGGAGGCTCAGCAAGGCCTCCACCTTTTAGAAAGGTGACCTTTCTAAAACCACAAAGCCAGCAGGTGGTAAAAGAAGAGGTGGCCCGATATCCCAGACTCCTGTTAGATGGCCCTTCTATCATTCCATCTCCCTTCAGAGTCAACCTGGCACCCATTTCAACAGGAATTTCTAAATAATAATTCTCACCCTATACTAGTAACTCTTACCTTTTTTGGATCATGGGCCCATTTGGCAATCTAATAGAATCCTCTTCCCAAAGCCACACACATACGGGACTTAGATAGTGGTTTCCAGAGGGTTCCTGGACCCCCTGAAGCCCATCCATCGACATCATTAAGAACCTCCTTTCCGCCCTGCTATGCGGGGGGCTCATTTATCCTCAGGATTTTAGAGCCATCTCCATATTCTTGAGCATCAGAGTCAAGGAAAGATGCTATTTTAAATTCACACTCCCAGGCCCATCTCCTGTGGATCCGGTTAAGGAGGTGCAGGGCTGTGTCCAGAAATCTACAGGAGGTGCACCGGGGGATTCTGGGATTGGTAGATCTGAGACACATGTGGGTCCAGGAGCTGCTGCCTCCCAGGCCTCTGAATGCTGTCCAGATGATCCCCTGACCTCCCAGCCTCTCTCCCCAGCTGCCCACCAAACCTGGCAAATAGACATCCCAGCACAACCCAACAGGGACTTCCTGAGCCCAACATCGGTGACCCCAGAAGTTCTCCTTTGCTGGGATCACGAGGCCCGAAACCTGGGCATTACCCTTGACTCTCCCTGTCCCCATCCCACATCTCGACCATCACCAAGGCCAGCAGATTCTATCCTCTATGTGCCTCTGGGCACCCCCACTTCCCTCTAGCACCCCTGCTGGCACCGTGGTCCAAGCTCCCAGCTTCTCCTCCTTGCTTGCATCTGCCTCCACCATCCATTCTCCATCCTGCAGCTCTGAGCCTGTCATTGCCCTGCACAAAGCTCTACAGTGGTGACCAAACTCTAGAACTGCACGGTCCAATATGGTAGCCACAGGTGGCTATTTAATTTAATATCCGAAGTTCTGCCCACAGTTCTCACTAGTCACGTATCAACTGCTCAAGAGCCACATGTGGCTGGTGGCTACCATATTGGATAGTGCAGATATAGCACATTTCCATCCTCACAGAAAGTTCTAGTGGACAGCAGAGCTCTACAACTTCACTTAGGAGCCCTTCAGGGCCTGGCCTCAGCCTTTGCTCAGACCACTCCCCAGCATCCCTGGTCTTGAGCCACCGTGAACCACTCTCAACTCCCTAAAGTCATGCTCTCACCTCTAACCCTTTGCATGCCATACCCTTCCTGCCTTCCTTGCTTGGCTAACTCCTACCCATTCTTTGGGTCTCAGCTGTCACTTCTCCCCTAAGCAGGACAAGTGCCCAAGCTTTTGCCAACCACAGCATTTAAAACACTGAGCCATAATAGTCACGGGCATGCCTACACCCATTACCCCCAAACCAACAATTTTCAGCTAGGAACAAGTTTGCAACCCCCCGTCCAGGGGACAACTGGTAGAGTCTGGATTCATTACTGGTGAGGTGCTCCTGGCATCTGGTGAGTAGAGGCCAGGAACATGCTAACATCCTACAATGCACAGGACAACCCCTGCAGCAAAGAATCATTTGGCCCCAAATGTCAACAGTGTTGAGGTTGACCATCCCTGCTCTAGACTGGACAGCTCCATAAAGGAAGGGGGTGTGTCCTGTACAGCGTGTATCCCTAGCCACCAGCCCAGAGTTGGGCATATAAGGAGTCCAGACGTTCTGTAAGATTTTTCCCCAGGATTCCAGCTCTCTTACAGCGTCTTACAATGACAATCAGTCACTGGTCATTACGGCAGGCTGAATAATGCCCCCCCCCCACAAATATCCAAGTCCTAATCCCTGGAACCTGTGAATGTCACTTTATGTGGCAAAAGGGACTCTGCATATTCAATTAAGTAGAGGATCTTGAGACGGCGTGATTATCCCGGATTATCCTGATGGGCCCTAAACGCACTCACAAGCAACCCTAGCAGAGGAAGGCAGAGGGACATTGACAGAGAAGAGGCAACAGGAAAATGGGGCAGAGAGATTCGAAGATGCTACAATGCTGGCCTTGAAGATGGGGGAAGGGGCTCCAGCTGGCATCCACCAGAAGCTGGGAAAAGCAAGGGTCAGATCTTCCCCTACAGCCTCGAGCAGGGTCCAGGCCCAGTGAAAATGATTTTGGACTTCTGGCCTCCAGAACTGTGTGTTCTGTATGGACAGATGTGTCTGTGATTTATCCCGCATAACCGACCGCCCAGACCTGCACGTACACAGGCAGGCTAAGAATGTCGTTCATGAGACTCGTGCTGCATGAATGACCTCAGGAGCCTGGTTGTTTGAAATATATTAGCTGGCCTCCAGGTCAGAACTGGCCCTTCCGTTCTGGGCTCCAAGGGCTATGAATCTTGTTGTACATCCCCTCCTGCTGCAGGCCGGGCTGGCCCCCCGGGATGGAATCCAGAATCCAGGAGGGGAGGCAGACACACATAGCCCAGGCTTCTTGAAAACACAGAAACACGAAAACATGGAAATGCAGCTTGCTCCAAACTGCACGTAGGTGAACAAATGTTTAAGCTCAGACCCCGTCATTTGCCCTATAAATACGGCCCTTATGAGGATGGTCGGCTGGAAGGCTCAGCGAGGGGAGGACGCTCTGCCCAGGCCTCTCACCTGGGACTCCAGCCCGGCTGTCTCCATGGGACTTGGCCCAGCTGATGAGGCTGGATGCTGTAAGTACCTGATTTGATGTAACTTTGCCTTATTCTCATTTATTGCCTACTATTACCTTCATCTATGTGTAGATTCCTTTCCTCTCCTGTCTCTATTAGGTTTCTATAATAATAATAAAGTTATCTTTCCTTTTCGAAACCCAGACACGGCTGTTTCGTGAATCTTTTGCTCAGAACACTGTGAGAGAATAAATTTCTAGTGTTTCTAGGCCAAGTGTAGAGTCATTTGTTACAACAGCCCTAGGACATTCATACGGTCGTATTCCAATCTGGGGTTTATTGGATTTGGATCAGAGAATTAGAAAGGAATGGCATTTAGGGGCCAGGCCCCCACCTGCTGGCTCCGAGGGCAGGAAGGAGAGATGGTTAGGGTGCCTGAGACATGTGTTTCTAGATGGGTAGCTGCCCAGGTCATCGGCAACAGCGTCCATAGGTCATTCCGCACGCCCTAGTCCTGCCACCTTCTGGAATGTGCAAGGTCTCTGCCAGGCAAGGGACTCAACCCAGGACACTATGTCTGTCCGGCGCTGAAGCAAGGATTACAATAAAAACTGAAGCCCTTGTCTAGCTCTCCAGCCTCCCTGCCAGCCCCTCTCCCTCCCCCGACTACCCTCCAGACACAGGGGCCTTTCTCTGACCTTCCAACACAGCCTTGGGGCCTTTGCACCTGCTATTCTTCTGCTTGAAACACTCTTCCTCCCGAGTCTCCCATGGCTGGCTGCTTCTCATCATTCAGGTCTCAGTGCAAACGCCACCTCCTCGGAGAGGCCCTCCCTGGCTGCACTCAGGGCCAGCGGACTTCACATCACCTTTCGTCACCAGCCGCTGATTTTTCCTCCCAAATCTTCTCACACTGTGTAACTATCTCATTACCATCTTTGTTTGCCTGTTCACTGTTAGTCCCCTGCAGCCCAGACTGCAGGCCCCAGGAGGGCAGGGACCTTGTCTGATCTGCCCAGGCTCCTTCCCCAGCCCCATGCCTGGCATGCACTAGATGCTCAACACATTCTGAACGAATGAATGAATGAATAAGCGGGTGAGTGAATGTGAACAAGTGAATATGCAGCTTTGGAGGATGCCTGTTAAACGCCAGGTCCTAACATACCTGATCTTGGCTTTCCGAAAGGCCAGCTCCTCTTCATTACCAAAGTCCAGGGACACATCCTCAGTATCGTCCACCAGGGCCTGGGGGACACCACACACGGGCGGCAGGCGGTGAGCATCCCCACCCCCACTCCCTCTGCGGGCGGGGCCCCTCCCCCGCGGCTGCAATCCGAGGTTTCCTGTTCATTTGGGGTGCGGCCCAGGCCCCAGCACGAGCCTCCTTCCTCCTCTCCCTCCCCTCCCCCTGCTCCAAACCGCCCCCCTCCACCCCCCCGCCCGGAGGTCCCGCAGGCTCCTCCCGTCCTCTCCCCCCAATCTCCTGCCTCCGGCATCCCCGTGGCCCTACCTGCTTCATCCTCCCCAGAGAGCACCTGGAGCCCACAGCCCAGGCTCCGGCTCCGCCTCTCGCCGATGCGCCGGGATGCCGGGAGGGTGGGGAGCGGCGGGGTCCGGGCTGGCGCCCCGCGGTGCAGAACTCGGGTGGGGGCGGGGCGCGCGGGGCCCAGAGCGCAGCCGCGGGCTGGGGAGGTGGGCTCGGCCGCCCGGGTGGGGGCAGGGCTTGGGAGGGTCCCGGGCTCCGGGCTCGCTGGGGGCCTCGGCGAGAGCTGCCGCCCAGAGCGGAGGGATGGAGGGCGAAGCCGGAGCGGCGGCACAGAGGGGACGATTCGGGCTCAGAGGCGCACTCGGGGCCCGGGAACAGAGATCGGGGAAGAACGGGGTGGGGTGGGACAGTGAATGAGGTGGATGTCGCATAGTTGTCGGATGGCTGAGCGAATGAACGAATGAATGTCAGTGTTGGGCAGCCTCATTTAGGGTTGGGAGAAAGCCAGTGTTTCCCAAAAGTCTCTGATCCCAAGAATTCTCCCGGGCCCTTCTTAAAAGCAGATTCCCAGCCGCAGCCCTGGAGACTGGGAAGGCCTGGAGTGCAGGCCGTGGACTCTGCCTTTTAACAGGTGAATCTGCTGACCACAGTGAGATTTTTCCCTCCTCTGCGTGCCAGACATGGTAGTGATTCTGGATGGTAAGGCCTCCCCAGGTATCTCCCAGGAAAGCAGGCTTGCCACCCTCAAGTCTTGTTTGGCCCAGGACAAGGTCACTCCGCTCCTTTCTGCCCTCTTCCACTCCTGACCCCCCTGCCCAGGAGCAGAGGGCTGAGAGTCTAGATGCCAGGGCCCCTAGTCCTGCCTTTGCCCTCCTGTCACGGGCAGGAGGGGTCTGTCCCCCATCCCCTGGTGACCTGGAAAAAGGCCGCAGGTCCACAAGCTCCTGACACCAACTCATTCACTGCTGGCCCCCTGAAGGGAGGAGCGGCCTGGGGTGTGCCCAGGGGTTGGAGTAAGAAACAGAGCTGCCTGGAGCTGCCTAAGCTCTGATGCCTGGGTGAGCACCCCCTCCCTTCCCCCAGTCGACTCTGCAAAGAGCCTGGCAGGTGTGTGTGCGGGGAGGGTGCTTTCTCCTGGGGACATATGCCCATCTTGAGGGGTCAGCCGGTCTGGGCCTGCCTGCGAAGCATCGCTCTAACAAGCTCCCAGGTGATGCTGATGCTGCAGGCCTCTGAACCGCCCCTTGAACCATTAAGGATCTACACTAGCAAACCCCAGGTTTCTAGAAAGGCCTGTTGTCTCTTCCAGCCCAAAGCTGGCTCCAGGCACAGGCGAGGGTCGCACTAAGAGGCTGGGGGACCCCAAGCTTCCCCTACCCCGCTAGTCCCCAGCTGCCTCGGATGCTCAGGAGAGGGCAGGTGGAGGTGAGAAGCCATTGCAAAACATTTAGGGGCTTTTCCTCTAACCGGGAGAATCACCAGCTGTTGCTAGCTGTTAAATTGGGGCTCCGAGAGTCCCTAGGGGGTGAGAAGGTAGGAAAACCCCCTTGGAAACCCCATCTGGGGACAAACTGTCATTCTTGGCCATCAGGTTGGGGGTGTCTCGAGAATTAGCCATGGCCCTACCATGCGGAAGTCACCCCACAAACACAAGGTCATGCCACTCTCCTCCTTCCTAACCACACCGGGGCATGGGCTGAGGATGCAGATGCCAGGGCCAGACCTGGGGCCTAGGCATTCCCTCCCCAGGAGACAGTGCTCTCCCTGGACACACACCCCGTTCGCCCTCTGCAGAGTGAGCCAGCAGAATTTGGGGGATGGGCAGAGAACTGGCTTTGAAATCAGCTGCTGGTTAAAAGGCAGACCCCAGGGCCCCGCTCCAGGCCTAATGAATCTCCAAGGCCAGGGCCTGGGAATCTGCATTTAACATGGGCTCTGGGGAATTCCTGAGAGCAGAGACTTTGGGGAAACACTGACTTTGTCCCCTCACACTGCTACCACTGAATATGGCCGCTGGGATCCTGACACTAGTCACCTTCTGCTGGTCCTGGCTCAGGAGGAGATTGGGGAGCAGAGTTTCAAAGAGCAAGCCCATCTCTGATCCCTGGTCCTGGGGCCAGAACGAACCTCAGGGAAAGGGGGCTCCCGGCTCAGGCAGCCACCAGCCTCTGGATGGCCCTTGGAGGTCAACATGCAGAGTTGGGCAGGCCTGGCTGGGAACATGCTCCACCACTTCCTGTCTGGGTGGCCTCTCTGGCCTCAGTCTCCACATCTGTACAACGGGGCCACACCTCCCCTCACCCCCATCATCAGGGATGATGCAAGACCTGGAGAAAACACATGGGAAACGCCCTCCCCAGAGCTGGGGGCTCGGGAGACAGCAGCTCTGGTGACAGGGACTTCGGTCATCGGCAGAGGGGCCTGGGGTCCGAGGAAACCCCGTGGGCCGGGCAGCGCACAGAACTCGAGCCCCGTATCAGAGTCACTCCTTCCCCCAAGAAGCGTCTGTCTTAATGGGGGAACAGGAACTTCGTATCCTGCTTGGCCATTTCCCAAACACCTCCTCTGGGCCCGACTCTGTGTCCCCGGGACAAGTGACAGGTGGGACAGAGGACCCAGCGTGGCCCTTTCCCTGACATGGGAACCCCAGGAGCCCTGGTGCAGAAAACAGGGGCTTGGGTGTGAATGGATATGGATGAAGGCTGGAGCTGGGAGCACAACCAGGGAGGTGGGGACACGGTGGGGGCCGGCTTGGCTGGACTTTGGCCGTCCTTATCCTGCGGGAGAATGACCATTGAGACGGGGTGGGCGGGCTTCAGATCTGGGGCTGGAAGAGGCCCTGAGCTGCACTGTCCCCCCACTCCCCGCATCGTCAGGGCAAAAGCTGAGGTCTCCGGGCCTGTCTGCCCCAGGCCTGCAGCTGCTCCTCACCCTCAGCCCTGCATTGCCGTGGGCGGCACTCCCTAAGATCTGCCCTGACAACTGCCCTGTCATTCCTCCACAAGCAGGGCTGAGGATCTCACAAGCAAAAATAAGGGAGCCCAGTGAAATGGAACTTGAGGGAAACAACAAATCATTTCTTAGAGTAAGTATATCCCATGCACTATTTGGGACATACTTATGCTAAAAATTTATCAGTCGCTAACCTCAAATTCAAATTTACCTGGGGTCCTGTATTTCATCTGGCAACCCTATGCCTCCAGGCCACGGTGCACCCAGGCTCAGGGGTCCAAAGCTCCCACCCTGGCGCCTGGGCCCCGGTCCCTGTGCCTCTCACCTTCCTGCCTCTCACAGATGCTCCGCCCACTTCACAGGGCTCCTCCCACCTGACCTGGCCTGTGTCCTCCATGCTGACAGCCCGGGCAATGTGCCCAGGAAGGCAGAGCGCGGGGCAGAGGGAGGAAGGTGGGTCCCTCCTGTGGGCTGTCCCGGGGACAGCCCCCCCCCATCCCCCTTGTTGGGGGCAGGTGGTACCCGGGGTGAGCCCTGGATTTCTACCCAGACAGAGTCAGCTGCATGTGGACCTCCATGAGATGGGGAGAGATTCGCTGCCCTGCACACTCCCGGGGTCCTTCACTCACTCACTTGCCCACTCATCTACTCAGTGCTGAGTCTAGACACAGGGTCCTACCCTCACCCCGGGTAGGTACACAGGGCCACTGCCAGGTGCCAGGTGGGCAGATCTTAGGGGCGGCAGGATCTTAGGGAGCGCCACCTGCGGGAGTAACGGGTTGATCTGTGTCTAGTGCCTGGCATGGAGATCTATGTGCTGCACATTCTCTCCTTGCTGAGGCTTTCTTCTCTGAAGTCCTGGAAAGCTTCCATCTACGCCCGAAGCTTGCTTCCTACTCTGATCGGCCCTTGTCTGGTAGGGGAGGCCTTTGCTTAGGCCAGCCAGGTGCTCCCCCAAGAGGGGACATTCCAGACCATGGAGCAAAAGGGACAGCCAAGCTTTGGTGTGACTCACTGGCCTCCCAAGGAAACTGCCACCTGGCCAGGCCATGGAGGAGTCGGCACACAGGCCAAGAGAGCCTCTTGTCACTCAAGGGCCGGGACAAGGACAGAGATGGCAGGTCCGCAACAAGGCTGGGCCTTCTCGTCCAGAAGCTGGGCGAGTGGGCAGTGGCTCTTATCCATCTTACAGCTCTAGCTTCCTCTTGGAGCAGCAGGAACTTGCAAGTCCCTCCCCCAGGTCCGGTGCTGGAGACGTCATAATGCTGGTCTCTGCCCCCCCAGCAGCTGTAGGCCCAGTTGCGTTGCCCCCCACTAGAAAAGATGGTTTCCACCCCTATGCCCCTATCAGGCCCTGTTTGGAGGGGACCTGCAGACCTTTTCTACCTCACCTTCTGTCACTCATCATGTTCTGATAACACTGGCCAGACTCTAAGATTTCCAGAAACTCCCAATCCTCTCCCTACCTCAGGAACTTTGCACCTGCTGTTTTCTCTGCCAGGACTTTTTAGGATTGAAAATATGAGGTCTCTCTCCGAGAGGCCTTCCCTAACTCCTGGCTCACATCTCACCTAAGCACTCAGTCCCTCTCTAGGGTCTGGGCCCTAGACATGTCTTGTTCTCTTCCTAGCACTTTCCATGGTTTTGAGTTGTCTTGTTTCTTAGTTAAGCAATCTTTCTCCTCCCCACCCGCTACTAGTCTTATCTCCATTAAAAGCAGGTTCCCCTTCTGTCCACCTAGCCAGGGCACACGTGGCTATTTGAGAAGTTTCTGGTTTAAAGTAAGTGAGTGAAGAGTGCACAACTCTGGGAACTGTGCCGGGCTGCAAATCTCTGCCCATTGTGTGGATGAGGGCTTTGGAATCAAGGTGAACAGTGACCTGGATCCCCACCTGGAAGGGTGGGTCTGGATTCAGGTTTTCACACACACACACACACACGCACGCACACACACACACGCACACACTCGTGGCCCAGGTCCCATCTGGGAAGCACTGGCCCCACTAGCCCAGGTCTGGCCTGGCCGTGCGGAGGACAAGCCGAGATGCCTGACCGTGGGCCGTGGCCAATCTGTGTGTCAGCAGTCAGGGAGCTGCTACTTACGGGAAATGCTCTATTGAGGAGAAAGGGTGGCGTGTTGTTTGGCCCAGCGCACTGGCCCGGGTCCAGACAGGTCAGGAAGCCTGTGCCTCTATGTCAGCCCGCACCCAGTTCCTCCCAGGAGAAGCAGTTGCCCGTGGAGACCGAGATCTCCCTAAGAAAAGACCAAGGGGCACCCATCCGTTCCCTCCTCCTCCTTTATAAAAAGAAAAAAAAAGGAAAGGAAAAAGC